GTGTGTGTGTGTGTGTGTGTGTGTGTGTGTGTGTGTGTGTGTGTGTGTGTACACATATGTCTGGAGTCCAGCCCATAGTAGGTGCTGCTAGTAAGGGTCTGGAGTTATCTGAGAGCTGCTGCCTCCAGTCTGAACTTGATCTGGCCTGGCACAAAGACCCAGAGGAAGACAAGCGGGGACAGAGATGGCTTCTCCTTCCTGCTTGTCTGCTCAATGGATCTTACGGCTCTCACCAGGTAACCCTTTCTTTGCCTATTCTATGACATTCTCTTGGTCACTACTCAGGTTCAGGTGGGTCAGCGTCCTCCTCAGAGTCTCTGATGACATCTCCTGCCACTGTCAGCTCCCCTTCCCATGTCAGTACTTCCCAAGTGCTGTTCCTCCACTTTCTGAAGATAGACATCCCCAACACACACATACCTGGAAGACAATGACAAACGCCAGCCGGGCGGCCAGGACAGCCCAGAAGTCTTTGGAAATGTCATACTTGTGTTCTGACCATGGCGGCTCCCGGTAATCTTTATACCTGCAAAGGTATGGGGAATCATGGGCAGGTCAAGAAGATCTTGGGCTGTAGAGACAGGCTCTGTGGCTGATTGCAGGGGTGGACTGCTCTCTGCCTAGAAAATTCCCCCATGTTGGATGGGGTGGGTAGAGCCCAGGGGCTTGGCATAAAACAGCCACCAGGGACTTAAAACAATGTTACAAGTGTTGAGACTCTGAGGACTTTTTGAGACAGACTAGCTGCTGCAGTGTGTGTTATGAATGGATTTGAGTTTGAGCCTTTAGGGCCAGAGGTGGGCCGTCCTGATTTAAAGTGATGAGTTTGGTGTCAAGTTAACAAAGGATGATACATTTTTTCCTTTACATTTAATTATGTGTGTATGCGTGTCTATGACTGTGCCTGCAATGTTCTCACAGGCTAAAAGGGAGTGGCAGGTCACCCCGGAGCTGGTATTGTAAGCAGCCAGATGTGGGTTATGGGATCTGAACTCAGGTCCTCTGGAAGAGCAGCCAGTGTTCTTAGTCACTCAGCCCACAGTTGATCTTGATTGTCTATTTGACAAGATTTAGAATCACTGTGGAGGGCTGGGGGGATGACTCAGTGATAAAGATGGTATTACCTAATCCGACTACTTGAATTTAATTCCTAGGACCCACGTGGTAGTGAGAAAGAAGTGACTCCTGAAAGTCAACCTCTGCCCTCCATGTGTACCACTGTACGTGAGTATCCACCCACCCGCCCACCAACCAACCAACCAACCAAACAAACAAACAAACAAATGTAATAGAATCACCATGAACCTCTTGGCAGGTGCGAGGGTGTCTCCAGAGAGATTTAATAAGGTGGGAAGACACACATGGAATGTGGGCGGGGGTGGGGTGGGGTTTCCCATGTGGGCAGAACCTTCCCATGTGCTCCCATGAGCTGGAGTCCTGGGCTGAATACAAAGGAAAACAGCAAGCTTTCCTAGCTCTCTGTTTCCTAAGTGTGGATACAATGTAACCAGCCACCTCACCCTGCTGCCTTGACTTCCCTCATGATAGCCTGCACCCTTAGACCGTGAGCCACCCTCAGACCATGAGCCGCCCTCAGACCGTGAGCCACCCTTAGACTATGAGCCAAAATGGACCTTTCCTTCCTTAAATTGCTTTTTGTCATGTATTCTGCCAGAGCAATGAGATCCATAACTAATCTAATACAATTCTCAAAGTCAGGGACAGGGCCTTTAGAGCAGCTGCGATGTCCCAGGCTGGTCACTAACGGCCAAAGCCGAGGAAGGGAACACAGGAGGAGGCACCTGGCCCCAGATGCACAACCTTAATGCTCAGCTCACATTTACTGTCAACTTGCTGGGTGTCCCTGAGTACTTGCTTGACCTAGGCCTCAGCCTGAGCATTCCCTCACTTGTTTGTGTTATAAGCATCTGTCAGTAGCTACCGAGTACCCGACCCCATCCCAGAGGACGCGTAGGTAAGAACACAGCAGCAGATGGGGCCTTTTGTTCATGGAGGGAGTTGGACAGGAGTCTCTAGGGCCTGTTTGCCATGGAACTAACAGCTCCCAGATGGGACTGGCTGGGGACAGTGGCAGGTGCTGAGCAGAGGTGGTACCATCACCCTGACAGGAGCAAGCAGTCTGTGAACTCAGTGTAACCACAAATGTCGGCTCCCCCTTTTCCTTCAAAACCTTGGGTCACCTGGGAAACCCTTATACATTCCCTGAAAATCCTTTCTATGGCTCTTCAGTTACTATCTCCCACCAGCCATAGTAACCTCTAGATTTGTTTTTTTCTTTTACTTGGCTTCAGTAATCAGCCCTCCTCCAGCCCCCACAGGGAGAAAATAATGTGTTCTCTCAGGGAAGATGGGGCTGACCTGGGCCATGCTTGCTTTAGCGCAGAAATAAACAGGGGCCTGTAGGGATCCTGGGTCCTAGTGACTGCTTCTGCTATCCTCTGGGCTGGCTTGGGCTCCAGCTTTGGGAGGTGCCTGGGGTGGGTGTGTCTGGTGTATGTGGGGAGCTCAAGGTCCCTGAGGTACAGGATTGTGATCTAGGTGGCGGGAAGTCTGCCTGGAACTGGAGCTGGAGACCATGAAGCCAAATCAGCAGGAACATAGTTGGGGTCTTGGCTTTGTGTTCTTGGAGATCTACGTCCCCAGCTTGGCCTGGAATCCTCTAGAGTGTCCTCTCTGCTTCTTACCCTCAGCATCGTTGCCACTCTGCCAGGAGTGTGCAGAAACATGAGCGATTTCTGTTTTCTCTTAGTGACATTCCCTGAACTCTATAGTGTCGGATGGTGCCCTGGGTGAAGGTGCTTTCAGCAGTACTGGTTGCCCTGCAGTGTGGCTGCCCAATGTGAGGCTGGATTTTGAGGTGGTTTCCTGATCTGTGTACCTTGATAACAGAGTAGCAGGTCATCTGCACCCTCTTCTCTCCTTTTCTCTCCAATACTGAGTTGCCCCCTAGGGAGCCATTTTTGGTTTCCCCAAGAGTAACCAACACTGCCGCTGGTGCACACACAGGAACCCAAGCTGACCCATAGCTCCACAAACCAAATTTTGTCTTTACAGGGAGCAAAAGCTACCAACACCAGAGGAAATCTGCTCTGAATTTGGTTCCTTCCATAGTTAGTAAGGGGTAGGAGTCTGAGTCTCTCTCTCTAGGCAGAGTACCTGGAGACCCTGGGCAAACAGAGGGTGATCTGCAGAGACGCTCAGCAGGGGAGTTGGGGTGGAGGAGCAACATGCTTCTGAGGTGACCTGTGTTTTCAACTTGGGAGGGTCCCCCGAGCTGGGGATTTCTCTGTGGGGCTGTGTGCAGACAGAGGGCATTCAGACGTGGAAATCGTGCTGCATTGTCTTTTCTCAAAACACCCTCTGAGCTTCCACCTCAGCTTTTTTTTTTTTTTTTTGAGGGGGCCTCTGAAGACAGTCCCAGGGTAGCTGCTGCTCTATGCCCCAATACAAATCACATAAAAATGGTGTTTCTTTTTCTTTCCCCTGTCTTTTTCCTTATAGTAGCCTGAGGGCAATTGAATAAATAAGTAAATAAGTTTATTATTTATAACTTATTTATTCATATAACAAATATACAATACATTTATAAATATATAAACTTATTCATTTATCTATTTATTTGAGATAGGGTCTCATTTTATGTATCTGAATATTTGTGTACCCCAAACTCAATATATAGCCTTGAACTCCTGATTCTCCTGCTTCCATCTCCTCAGTACTGGGGTAACAGTGTGAGGCCCCACCTCTTAAAGGTGCCTCTCCTCTGCCACCCTGAGGAGAAAGAAGCGTCTCCCATGGGACTCTTCTGGGATAACCCATACTCACACCAGAGCACGTGCTAAGGCACCATGCTGGCTTCTAGGGAATGCATCATGTGTAAAACCAGAGCTCCAGAGACAGTGAATGCTCTCTGCCCCTCCCTGCTGGTCTGACACATTTTATTTATTTATTATTAAAGACAGGGCCTCAACTGGGCAGTGCACTCCTTTAGTCCCAGAAGTCTGGCTTTAAGTCCTGCTGTCTGGGTTTAGACTTGGAACATAGAGGCAGGCAGATCTCTGAATTTGAGGCTACCTGGACTCAATAGTGAGTTCCAGGCCAGTCAGGGCTACATAGTGAACTACAAACTTTGTCTGAAAAGAAGTCATATATATATATATATATATATATATATATATATATATATATATATATATAATGAATATTTGTGTATCACATGAATGTCTACTGCCCATGGAGGCCAGAAGAGGGCTTCAGATCCCCTGGTGCAAGAGTTATAGATGGTTATGAACCTTGGAGGTTCTGGGAATCGAGCACAGGTCTTCTGCAAGAACAACAAGTGCTATTAACTGCTAAAGCCATCTCTCCAGCCCATGTTGTTGTTTGGAGACAAGATCTGATGTAGCACAGGCTGGCCTCAATCTCAGCTGAGAAGGGCCTCGAACTTCTCATCTTTTGTTTTCACCTCCTAGTATACTACATTTGAGATCTGGTCTCATGTAGTCCAGGTTGGCTTCAAACTCATAGCAATCCCCCTGCCTCAGGCTCTCAATGTGGGGTTACAGGTGCATCCCACCCCTGCAGGCATTTTACAAATTACATGTAAGTACTTATTGGGTCCTGCCCCTGACAAAACCTGGCTCCTCCTTAGCCTTTCCCAGCTTTCTATGCAAGGGGCTCTCTTTAGAGGGAGACACGAAGGCGGTACCTGCAGATCTGAACCTCATAGCCCAGGTCCAGGGGGTCATTGGGTGCTGTGCCATTCTGGAAGTCGCTGACATTGAAGGAGGAGAGCGTGTGGTTGACGAAGCCATGCATGGTCCCGTTCTGACTGTACATGTAGAGGTACACTAGGCGAGGGATGAAGTCAGACGTGAAGGAGATCACAAAGGCCTGCCAGGGAAAAGGAGTGAGCATGGATCCAGCATGGGGCAGGGCAGGGGAGCCACATGAGTGAACGAAGGGTCAGGAGGTTCCTGTCCTATTCTGCAGCTTGTAGGAGCCTGAACGTCTATGGTGGTGGTCCTTAGGCAGGGGCCGCAGGGATAACAGGCTGCCTTTTATAAGCTGTCTGGCTCTGGTTGAAGCTCCCAACCTCTGTGTCATCCTTCTGTTCTTGTTCAACTGGCTGACTGTCCCCACTGAGCACAGACCTCACCTCCTGGGCTTGCCAGAGAAATTCAAGAGTCCAAAGAAGGACGCTGCAAACTTTAAAGTTCTTGCCTACCTCTAAGACAGAACTGTCTCTGCAGTAACTTTTTTTTTTTCTGCAGTAACTTCATGTAGGGTCCTGAAGCCTGGCAGCCTCTGGTGTCTCTACAGCCTTGGCTATACCACCTGACCTCTCTGTATACTCCTTAGCTAGCTGTAACATGGTGCCTGCCAAGCCATACCTCCTCCAGCTGTGTGCAGAGTAATGGTTTGGTATGTGGCAAGAATACAGAGGCTTTAGGATATTCTGGGAGCTTCTAACATTGTTGCTGTTGTCCTCATGAGATGTCATATGTGCGCCCTTGCTTCGCATGGGCAGTACTCTGGGACATCTTCATTTCGGACCCTACTGTTGCTCTCCTGGAGTGAGGTGTAGATATTCCTTTAACAAGAGCCCTCAAGGCCTTCATTGGAGAGGTGGGCATTTGGCAGGAGGGAAGAACAGGGTGGAGTTTGGAGGCTCCTACTAGCTCAAATATCATCCCTATGCCTGGTGGGGACTGGATTCTAGATGCTCTGACATTGGACACCCTGGGCTTGTTACTGTTCTAGGAGGCACCCCTACTTGTGCACAGGGTCTGCATATGGGGGCTTGGTCAGTGGATGGAGAGGCAGAAGGTTTTAGGAGCACTACTGTGCTTCACTTGCAGTTCCCACACTTCTGAGCCAGCCCTGGGCTTTGCTGCAATTATATGGAGCCTGTGAGGACCACAGTGGCCAAGGGCTTTGCCACTCCTGACCTGAGGCCATCACCATGACCTGGGAAGACATGGTGATGGCTGGGAAGAAAGCCAGGTATGGAATGCTGGGATTGATGGAGACAGGTGTGCTAGCTTGTCTCTCCCTTCTCAGCTATATTACACACAGTGTTTTGTTTGTTTGTTTGTTTGTTTGTAGACAGGGTCTTATGTAGCCTAGGCTGGACTTGAACTTTCTACGAGGTTGAGGATGACTTTGAACTTCAGATTCCCACTATCCCCTGCAACCCCTAGTGCTGGAAGAACAGGTGCGCTCCACCATGCCGGGTTTATTCAATGCTGGTGATAAAACTCAGGCTTTGTGCATGCTACACAAGCACGCCACCTACTGAGCCACAGCCCTAGTCTTCAAGGGAAGTTTCTGAAGAGAGCCATCCCTCCCAGCAGCCTGGCTGGTCTCACGGCCCAGCCAGGGTCTCCACTCCCATCACTTACATTAATGATGACAGCCAGCTTCCCGACACCTCTGAGAATGTTATACCAGATGCCTGGAGGAAAAGCAGACGGGAGCACCTGTGGTCAGGTGTACGGCTTGTGGTGCACACACAGTGCCTGGGTGGGCCCAACCTTGTAGGCACTAGGGCAGCAATGCTGGGGAAGGCACAGAAGGAGCCCAGGGATTGCCACTGTCCTTGGCTGCACTGTGTTGCTATGTCACCTTATGGGTTGTCTAAGAGCAGCCTAATGGGTAAATGCCTAACAGGGTGTCTGTTAGACACCCTGGTCCCTAGTGACCCTGGACCTTCCCTGTGAACCTGTCTGTAGGTACACTCAGTGCAGGGAGATCTCTTTCCTACAGCCAGTGCTTGAGCAGCTGTGGCCAGGGCATCCTGACTGGGGAGGCTGGGATCTTGCCTCAGGGGTGATGCTCATCGGTGTTCAGCCAACTACCATGCTTGGATCTGGCCTGGCTTCCACTACTACCATCCCAGATGGGCAAAGTCTATACCTAGTGTGGTAAGCCCTTGCCTCTTGGCTCTTCCACTGGAAAAGAGAAGGAACAAGGCTCAGGAAGGAGGTGAGGGGCTGGTTGGGGCCTTAAGGCTGAGATTCCTACAGGAAAATCTGTATGCCCATGCCCTGCATGCCCCCGCCCCGACTTCACTCATGAGGTTGGGTGTGCACCTGGGGGTCCTATTCTGAAGTGCACTCTATTAGGCCAAGAGCATGTCCTGTCTATATGTCACTCCCAGTCCTGGCTCCTGGGTCTGACATCCCTTCTCGGAAGTCACCCTGGGTGGATCTGACCATCTCTACCCTTGGAGAAATGATGGCAGGTGTTTTGTTGCAGGTGTGGTGTATGGCCTGGTGCTACATGGTGACTTCCCTATCTAGGAGCCGTGTGGCAGCTTCTAAGCCCTCAGTTTTGAGTTTCACACTGGTGGCCCGTAAGGCCAGCAGGTGCTCAGCTCTGGACATCCCAGCACCCAAGGCTACAGCAATACACATGTGTTAGGTGCATACCCCTGCCTCGGCCAGAGAGGATCCCAGGTTAAAAAAGTCTCCCTCACAGTGATAAAACTCCTGTGGTGATGGTGGTTCTGTCTAGCTTCCTGCTAGCAGAAGTCTTAGGCAGACAGATAGATCCTGCATGTTGAAAATCCCATAGGCATGAGGGAGCCAGCAAGGGCACTAAGAGGGGAGCATATCCCTGTCAGGTCAGTCACCTGTGGGAGTGCTTCATGACTGGCCTCTTGTGGTTAGCTCAAAGCAGGCTGTGGCCTACGCATTCTGTGTCTCCTGAACCTCATACAGCATTTACCCATTAGGGGTTTGTTCATGGGCTGCAGGAGTGTGCAAAGCCTTTTCAGAAAAAACAAACGAACAAGAAAATCCCTAAAAACTAGAGGAGAGGACACAAAGAGGCAGGCCTGTTGGTGGACTGGTGAGATGGCCCAGCAGGTAAGCACTCCTTATGCCCAGGCTTGATGACCAGAGTTGTACCTCCTGAACCACAGCGGGAGACAGAAGCCACTCTTGTAAGACAGATTTCCTAGGAGATCTTGTGGCTGACAGTGGTGGTTCCCGCAGGTCACCTGACCACATCTCTGCTCTACATACAGGGAGTCCCTGATGCCACCTGTTGGAGCCACCAGACACTTCTTGCTGCTTTAGCTCCTTCCTTCCTTCCTTCTTTTCTTCCTTCCTTCCTTCTTTCCTTCCTTCCTTCCTTCCTCCTTTCTTCTCTCCCTTCCTTCCTTCTCTCCTTCCTCCTTCCCTTCCCTCCTTCCCTCCTCCCTTCCTTCTCTCGCGGTCTCATGTGGCCCAGACTAGTTTCACTATGAGCCTGTGAGGCAAGGATGGTTTTTGAACCCCCCCCCCATCTTCATGCTGCTACTTCCCAAGTTCTACGATTACAGGTATGTGCCATCACATCTGAGTTATTTGGTGGTGGGGTCAAACCCAGGCCATTGCACATGGTAGGCAAGTACTCTACCTAGGCCAAAGCCCTAGCCAAGCAGAGCTGTAGTTCAGGGTGGACCTCAACTTCATCTCACTCAAAGTTTGCCACTGCTGTGTTTCACAACTGGCAGAGCTCACACTGAAGCTTATTGTACTAACTTAATACATAGATCTATTTTTGAGACAGGGTCTTACTCTACAGCCCAGGTTCTAGCCTGTAACTCATTCTGTACCTTGGGCTGACGTCAAACATGCATCAATCCCCCTGCCTCATCCTTCCAAGTATGCTTGGATTTACAAGCATGTCTACACTCAATCTATAGATATGTTTTTATTTGAACATTTGTTTTCAATTTTCCAGGGCATAAACCAGGAATAGAACTGTCGGGTGACTGGTAATTCTGCAATGTACTTTAACCTCAGAACTTCAGTCAGAATGGGAGGGCAGAGTTCCTCCTGTCCCTCCTTATTTGACTGTTTTAGACAGGGTCTCACTGTGTTAGCTTTAGCTGATCTGGAACTCACAGAGATCCACCTGCCTCTGTTTCCTGTTAGAATCAAAAGCATGTGCCAGAACAGCTGGCTAAAGTCTATTTTTACTTTATTTATTATTTTTGGAGGCAGGCTCTCACGTAGCTCAGGCTACCTTGAAGTTGAGATGTTGAGCCCAGAATGACCTTGAATGTCTGATCCTCTTGCTTCTATTTCCTGAGTGGTGGGATTAGGGGTGTGCACCATTACAGTGGCTCCTTTTTTCCTTCCTCTCTTCCTCCTCTGCTTCCTCCTCCTCTATCACTCCAGAGGACTCTAAAACCCATTTCCAATAGCTTGACAGAAAGCATGCTGGGCAGGCCAGGTGCTCCATGAGAGTTTGGCTAGGGCAATATATATATATGTGTGTGTGTGTGTGTGTGTGTGTGTGTGTGTGTGTGTGTGTGCTCGCGCGCAGTTTAGCACAAGGAGTCATTACTGCCTGAAAACCTGCATTCTGGGGTCCCCTACACACATTGTGTTGGCCACCAACAGAGAATTCCTCCCAAGAGGCCATGTGAAAAAGGCTTCTGTAGTCAGGAGCACAGCTGCTACTAGCCAGGGTCTGTGGGGGTGCAGGCCATCGGCGCCACTGGGTCTCCCATCCTCTGGGAACACTGTCCCAGAGGCTCTGCACGGATCAGAGGAGGAAGACAAAAGCCCCTTTGAGCAAAAGGTTACAGCACAGGAGGCCACAAACAAGCATGTGAAAGGCAGATCACGCCTCCAACCAACTGGGCAGGAACCAGGAAGCAGCCGCTGATCCGTGAGGCCTGGGAAAAAGCAAGGAGCCTGGAGGGAGAACTCTGAGGGCACACCAGGAGCCCCAAGGGGGTGGGGAGGACAGGGGAGCCAGGAGGCCACCCACGCTACCCTGTTTGCCTTGGTGGGTTTCTAGGTTTTGAGAGTATACTCCTTCTAGGAATAGCCAGTCTCTGTCCTGAAGCAGAAGCAGAAGCAGAATTCACCAAATAGCGGCATACACACTGGGAATTCCGCTGAGGGGGGGATTTTTGCAAACTCAACAGGGGACAGTGTGGCCATATACCTTTCTTCCTTTCCAGCTATGGGACAGTAAACTGAAGAGTTTCAAAAAATTACCTAGGAGAGCCCAAGTTTCCTTTGGGCTCTGCTGAGGGAGACTCTGCCTAGGCTTCCTCCAAGGTTTCTCTCCGAGGGCCCAACATGTAGAAAGTTCCAGGAGAATTTTGCAATAGACACATTTCTGGGCTTGTCTTAGAGCAGGGTGTGGGATGCCCATCCTGTTGCTCAGATGTGGCCAAGGGCTGGGTCTATATCAGCCCTCTAGAGAATGGCTTTTAAATGTTAAGAACAGAAGGGAAACTGACTGAATTTGGCCTTCCACTGGGAACAGTTGTGCCCCAAAGCTGAGGTAAGCCAAGAGCTCCTGAAGGGCTCTTGTAGCTCCAAGGTCACCAGTCTAGCCATATCTGGGTGTGGCTTATGTTATGACCACAATGGGGTAGAATAGGGGACTCTGGGGGCTGGGAGGGTCAGTTTGTCTAGGGAATTTCAGTGCTTTTAAAGACTGTGGGCAGAATCCAGGCCCACTTGGGTGTCTGTTTCCATTGTCTGAGTTGCCTGGGTAGGAGGTGGCATCAGGAAGCCACCATGCCCAGGCACAGCATGAGAATCTTGCACATGAGCCCTGGCTCTGACCTCCTCCTCATCCAGCACCATGTTTCTAGCCCACTCTCAAGGTTGGGGCTGGGGGCAGCGTGTATGTTTCCACAGGCTTGTAGCAAAGATGTGAATGAGATTATAGAAGCAAACAGATGAAGCCACCACAGCTGATATGCTTGACTATGACCATGGCAATTCCATCCAGCTCAGTGTAAACAATCACAAGGTGACAGAGAAGCTCAGCCCACCTTCTCTCAGAGGCCGCTGGAAGACTGGAAGATTCCATCATCCCAGTCAGGGACTGGCCATGCTGCCAGAAGCCAATGGATGGCCCAAAGAGCATCTAGCCTGGCAGAGACACTAACTAAAGCAAGAGAAAATATAGAGTGGATGGCCATCTGCGGGTTCCCACAGGTGTGGGTGGTACTACCCAAGGGTTGCCCATGGAATGACCTGGATGTGCAGGGGACTGGGAAAGGTCTTAGAAAGGCCAATGCTACCCCAAACAGTCTTGCAGACTCCTATCTGGGTCACAGAACCTAACCCAAAGATCCCTTATCACTAAGGGACTATAATCTATATGGGTAGGTGACCAGTGGCTTCCCTCACATTATTTGGTCTGCACAGAGATGCCCTTCTCACTGAGACTGTTCCAGAGGAGATGGATTAAGGATAGTGGGTCTCACTGTAGGATAAGGAGGACAGCATCCTTCCTTACTAGCTCTGGTTGAGGTGTGCATGGCATCTGGAGCTCTGTGAACTCCATCTTCCATGTCCTTTACTCTTCCTAGATACACTCAGTCCCTCCTTAACTGCCTCTGATGATGGGATGCTCCCTACCAGGGGGATGCTTGCTCTTCCTTTGATGCCGTACTATTGCAGTGCTGTGTACCCCTCTCTCCATCCCCGTTCTCCATGTACAACGCAGGCAGGAGACTCAGGGTTCACAGTCCCACACTGAGTTTCATCCTGGCCTTGAACTTCATGGGTAAGACATCAAGGACAAAACAATACTTCCTTGGGCTATAGGAGGTATCCTCTCCAAAAACATTTCTTTTAAGGTTTTATTTCTCTCTCTTTCTCTCTGTCTCTCTCTCTCTCTCTGTGTGTGTGTGTGCATGCGCACTCGTGAGCCCTTGCCAGAAGAAGGAGTTGGATCCCCTGGAGTCGGAGACTGTGAGATGCCCAACATGAGGTTAGTTGGTTAGATGAACTTAGGTCCTCTGCAAGAGCAGCCAGTACTCCTAACTGCTGCACAGACTCTCCAGACCCAGCTACTCTCTTTACTATGAGTACTGAACGCTGTAGTGTACAGGAGGCAGGGGACGCTTGCTGAGCAGCTAATGTTCTGTTTCTATTGGTCTATCTTTTAGCTCTGGGGCCACCCCAGTGTTGGGGGGTGGGGTATTGAGAATAAGCATGGAGAAAAATGTACCCTCATGTGTGTTTGATGTACCCCAGGAGAGCCATCACAAATTTACTTAAAACACGAATTTTGGTGTGTGTGTGTGATTTTTTTTTTGTAACTCAGTTGTGTTGCTCTGGAACATGAACTTTGTGGATGACAATGTCATGTCACAATACAATACCACAAGATTATTGGACATGCCTGGGAGGCCTACATCAGTGGATGGCTGAGACAGGCAGACAGCTGACAAATAGTCCCATATGTCGTTGGTAGCTGACACATCTTGGAGGTTGGGGGACCAGTGGGACACATTCAAGATCTTTCAGCACTTGGGAAGGTAGTGGGAAAGCCCTAATAGGGAACACAGGTCTGGAGCCTGCTAGCTTCTCAAGAGCAGCAGCCCCCGCCCATGTGCTCTGAGCCCATTTCCCAGCTCACTTACCGATGTCTTTGGCTCTGATGGCTACTGGCCTCCGTAGCTCGGTGACAAACTTTTTGGCATCCAGGCGGATCTCAATGATGTTGTTTAGCAGGGCGAAGAGTGGAGCCAGAGGGAAGGATGCAACGAACAGAGTGACAAAGCCGAACTGAATGACTGCAGGGAGAGCACAGTGTCAGCGGTGCAGCTGTGCATCGCTGTGCACACACCGCGAGGCGCCCTGCATACTGAGGTATCTCGCCAGCTCTACACTGCACAGCGTCCTACACCCAGCATGATTCAGACCAGGACCGCCTGGTACCCTGCCTTGAAGGGGCCCCTCTGTATGGACCTGCCTGCAAGTACATGAGGCCTCTCCAAAGAGCCACTACCATGGGCTCTCCAAAGAGCCACTACCTGGGATAATGCCCAGGTCCAGGGAACTGAAGACAGAAGTCACTGTATCTGGAATTCAACATGGCTGGCCTTGAACTTGTGATAATTCTTCTGCCCCAGCTTCCCAACTATGGCACTGTGTCATCATGTCTGGATTATTTATTTATTTATTATGTGTCTGTGCATGTATGTGCACATTTGCATGGGTGTGCATGTGTTCATGGAGACCAGAAAACACTGTAAATGCTGGTCTTCAGGTGCCACCCACCTCTTTCTTTCTTTCTTTCTTTCTTTCTTTCTTTCTTTCTTTCTTTCTTTCTTTCTTTTCTTTCTTTCTTTTGTTCCTTCCTTCCTTCCTTCCTTTCTTCCTTCCTTCCTTTCTTCCTTTCAAGTAGACACTCTCACTGAGACTTGGGGCTCATAGTAGGGTAGACTGACTTCCCAGGGAGCCCCAGAGGTCCTCCTGTTCTACTTCCTCATTGCTAGGATTACAAGCACACCACCACCCTTGGCTTTTTACAAGGGTTCTGGGGACTGAATTCATGTCTTCATGTTTGCACAGAAAGCACTTCATGTACTGAGGCATCTCGCCAGCTTTACATTGTGTAATTTTTATACTTGTCTATAAATGTGCTCTGGTCATGTTCACCCTGGGATGACTCCTGAGTTACAGGCATGCTTGAAGTTCACAGGTCTGATCTTATGAAATTTCTGCTCATAGGCAGATCCAAGTGAGCGCATGGCCTGGCTTGGCCCATCCCTGTGCCCAAATCTCCCTAGGGCCAGGAAGGCTTGTTCCCATAACTGTGTCTCAAGAGTCCCTCCTTTTCTCTTCCATCAGGCCTAGGAGAGTTGGAGGATATCTGTCTTCCGGGATTGTCCCAGCCTCTGTCCCCTTCATGCTGCTGTTCACCAGCTCTGGGCTTCTTCAGCCTTAGAAGCCACAGTCAACTCAAGTTGAAACAGGTCAGGAAAAGGTCACCAGAGGGATGAGAGTTGGAGAGCTGGTCCAGGAGCTGTATGGCAGGACCTGGTCCAAGGGTGCTCCGTGCCAGGGGGTAAACAAGGAAGCTGCAGAATGTCACCCTGTGCTCAGATGGCTGAGTATGGCCATTGTTAGCAGGGTGAGCAGGGCAGGAGGCTGTGGGAACTGTTTCCCAGATGTCTTGGTGACCTCTCTTTGGCCCTGAAGTATGGGGCAGCAGAATGTGATGCCTCTGCTGAGGAATGGAGGTATTTGGACGGGGAGGTTATGATGAAGCAGGACCAGCCATGTGCCATGGTTATGCTCATGGGCCATGACTACTGAGGCTCAGGTGCAAGGTTGCTGTAGGTGGGCTTTTCCACTTTAAAAATTTTTTTTCTTGACACAGGGTCTCATGTAGCCCAGGTTGGCCTCCAATTTACTATATAGCCAAACATGACCTTGATCTTCTGATGGTCCTGTCTCCACTTCTCAAGTGCTGAGACTGTAGTATAGGCCTGCACTACCATGCCTGGTTTATGCTGGGAATTGAACCCAGGGCCTTGCATATGCTAGGCAAGCACTCTACCAAAGGAGCTACAGAGTCCTAGTCTTGATTTTTCCACTTCAGAGTGATGTCACTGCCTCATCTGTCATGAAGTGGATGAGAAAGAAAAAACGGAGGGGAAGTGGGAGGGAAGGCTTCTGGAGCTCAAGGTGGTATGAGATATCCTCCTATCCACATCTGTGAGCTTCCATGCTAGCCTTAGAGCATGGCCTTAGCCTTTCCTGGAGGACAAGATGGCAGCAGATATGACAGAGAGAGAGCCAGGCAAGGAGTGCACCCTGGTGCTGGACTGGGGTAGGCTACTTGACACATAACAGACCTTTGTTTCTGAGATCTCCTTATTCTTAAGCCCTGGAGGATCATGGGAGCCCGAGGTAAGGGTTCAGTAGTGAGAGAATTGACCATGTCTCAGTCAACTACAGGGCACTTCTCTGTGATATCTCATTTCCCAGAGCCTCCTCAGAGAGTGGAAGCCTGACTTTAGGGGCAGAGGGACCAGTGCCCAGATTCCACTGGCCATGGCCCTGGGGATGAACAGGGGAAGAATGGAACCTGGAGTCCTGTTCGCTCCCCACCCACATACTCTCCTGAATCTTGGGATGAGATGATTCCAGTTGGGAGCAACCAGCTTGGAACCACATGAACAAACAGAGTGGCTGGGAGGTGTTTATAGGGGCAGAATGCTCTGGCCACTGTGTTGTAGCCTGGAGGTCACCTGCTCATCAGGTGGCTCTGAGTCAAGGCTGAGGAGTGCTGTGGCCACCTTGCTTTGCAGCACTGTGGATAATGCAGAAGCCGAGAAGTCCCTCTCCTGCCAGGACCTGGGGCAAGCCTGATACTGCATGTTTGAGTCCTTTCCATGGTGATTGAGGCCATGTCAGTCTAAGCCCCCTGTGCTTGAGTCTTCCTGTCCGTGTTTACTCATCCATAGGTTCAGTGACCATGCACTGAGCGTCTGCTGTATACTCAGACATGCACTGAGTGTCTGCTGTATACTCAGACATGCACTGAGTGTCTGCTGTATACTCAGACATGCACTCAGTGTCTGCTGTATACTTGGGCCCATTCTAGGGTGGAGGAACAGCAGCCAAGAGAGGGAAGGAAAGGTCTTCCCTCCACAGGGCTCCATTCTTCTGTGAGATAGACAGAAAGAGGGGGGAGAGAAACTTATGGGGTCAGCTGGATTTAAAATGGGGCCAGAGGAGGAGTTGGGTCCTAGGCATGGGGAAAGACTAACTTTTTTTAGCTACTGAGGTCAGAGAAAACTTTTACTAGAGGACTGGAGTCCTGAAGGAAGGAAAAGAAAAAATCCATGCAGGTATTTGAGGGAGAGCATTCCACCAGAGGTACCATAAAGGCAGAGGCCCCATGGAAGGCCTGAGCTACATGCTTACAGAACAATGTGGAGTTTGCTGTGAGCACAGCATAGGGGCTGGATGGACAGTAGGGAGCCTGGGAAGCCCAGGGTCGCAGAGACGGTACCTGGCTCTCCCCACCTCCCAGCATCCTTCCATGCTGGGGTCACATCTCTGATACTTGCTGAGTCAATTATCTTGGTGATCAGGAAGAAGAGAGGAGTCGAAGACCCAAAGAAGGACTCTAAAGGGGTGTGGCTATGGTATCCCAATGCTGGGGGCCTCCAATGGAGCTGGTATTGCTGTTGAGGGAAGTAGAAGGAGAAGGGATTGCTACTCGGCCTTATGTGTCACACTGTGTGGCAGGTGACCATGTATTGCCTGTCCTGGGCCTTTGGAAGACGAGTTTAGAGGAGAAGGGACAGTGTTTATAGCCCTGAGGAAGAACAGAACCTAGAGCCAAGAGTGGAGGGCAGGCATCTCCTGCTTCTGCTCTGCCTGACACCGATGAAACGGTGAGGGGCACTGAGGGTCGGATCTTGGCCATCCCATCCTACAGCCCCTTCCCTATTTCTAACCTGGTAGCCTGTTTCTCCCCCCACTTCCCCGTGTATGTGTGTGTGTGTGTGTGTGTGTGTGTGCGCGCACCACAGGTATATGTGAAGGTCAGAGGTCAGCTTCCTGTGTCATTCCTCAGATATGGTCCATTTTAATTTTTGGCACCCATCTCTTACTCACTTGGCATCATCAAGCAGGCTAGGCTAGGCTGGCTGGCTAGTGAGCCCCAAGGATCTTCCTGTCTGTCTCCTCCATGCCGGGATTACAAGCACACATCACCATAACTTTTTTTTTAATTTGGGTTCAGGGATTGTACTTAAAGTCCAGAGCTCATAAAGTAATTTACTAACTGAGCCATCTCCCTAGATCAGTTTCCTTCTTTTATTTGCTTTGTTTTTTTAAGACTGGGTCTCACTATGTAGCCCAGGCTGGCCTTAAACTCAGGAGCCTCCTGCCTCAGCTTCCAAGTTCTGGGATCACAGACAGGCATCAAGCACCATGCCAAGATCCATTGTCTTTGTCCGATCTGCATCCCCTGCAGCCTGTGCCCACTGCCCTGGCTGGGATACCACTCACTCATTTCCATGTACTCAGGCGTTAGGCCAGCGAAGGGTTCAAGGTTGAAGTCCACCTCATAGCGCTGCTTCCGCTTCACGTACTCCTCGCGGTCCGAGGGGCTCTGCCTGCGCAGCTTCAGGTAGCGGATGAACTTTTTCATCTTCCTGCAGGGGGTGCTCTGTCAGTAGGTAGCCAGGGTTACATTGCCCCATCTGCTCTAAGCCTGAACCACTGGCTAGTGTCCAGAAAGAGGCATCTTTTTCTAACCATAGTTTTATTTTGAGTCAGAGTTTCACTATTAGCCCTGGCTGGCCTTGAATTTACTATGTAGACCAGGATGGCCTCAAACTCACAGAGATCCACCTTTCTTTTCTTCCCTTGTGCTGGGAACAAAGGCATGTGCCACCATGCCTGGCTCGATGCCTGTTGGAAGGGGACTGGTAGCTCTGCCTTTCTCCCAGAGGCAGCATAGCTCTGTTGGTTTCCTAAGATGCTGAAGGGCAGAGAGAGTGAGAGACCACCTATCGCCATGAGAAGGCCCTGGAGGGAACCAGGAAGTATGGGCTATGCTATGCTCCTGTGGCCTCTCCTCAGTACACTAAGGTCCTGGCTCCAGGGACCTTGGCTAGACACTCTGTCACTCAGGAGCCAGCATGTAGCCAGGCTGTGTGGCAACCTGAAGGTAGGACTCCACGTCTCCTTGTCTACAATGGGGCAACTTTTGCTCCATATCCCCTCCCCATCTTTCTCATGTCCTGGTTTCTGATATCTCCTATCTCAAAAGAGGCTGATGCCTCACCTGTCACACAGGCTACTTCTAGAGTCACCCAAGTCTCTCCCACGCTGCTATGTCCCCACCCGTGACAGGTACCACTCACGGGATGCCAATCTCGAAGAGATTGTTCTGGATCAGCTGCTTGCCCAGCATGATGATGCTCAGCTGGATGCAGAGCTCCATGAGGCAGCCCCCCGGGGCACACTGTGGGACAGAGGGCAGGTTAGGTCTGGCTCTGGGTAGGGGGAGGCTGGCCCTCAACTTGTGGGGTGACTCATGGTCTCTTAAAAGTTGGGTTCAGGACTAGGGAGATGGCGGGTGGTAAGAGCACTTGCTTGCAAACATGAGTATCTGAGTCTGAAGCGCAAGCCAAGTGTGGTTGCATGTCATCTCAGCATTGTGGGGTGGGGGCAGAGGTAAGAGGACACCAAGATCTCTGTGCAGTCATCCTAGCTGTAATCTGTGAGCTTCCAATTAAGTGAGAGATCTGATCACAAGGCATCAGGAGGAAAGTGGTAGAGGAAGACACTTGACATTCTCCTCAAATGCACATATCTGTACATGTGCTCCTGTACATGTGCACAGGTGCACACACACACACATATACACACATGTCCCCACATATACACACATGTTTAAGCAAGGTTGCTCCCAACACACATGCACACATTGGGGGTGGTTCACATCCACACCTTCTGAAACCTTGAGAACAAGACCTTATTTTGGGAAGAAGTCATTGCCCTACGTCAGTGACCAGTGTCCTCGGGAGAACACAAAGATCTAGAGGGAGACAGCATCTGGAGCAATGCAGAGAGGGCCACCGAGAAGCCAGGCATGGTGGTACACACCTCAATCCCAGCACTGTAGAAGTGGAGGTAGGAAGATCAGGAAGTCCTGGGGTGCCTGAGCCGTGGTCAGATAACTGAAGTACACTACCTTCCACTACTGGATCATCCATGCCTGACACTCACCCCTTTGTGTCTCATCCCACTGTTACCTTCTCAGAAAGGCCCAGTGTCCTCTGTCATGTTTGTGTGTGCATGCACACGTCATATATGTGTGACATGTATGTGCATGCATGTGGAGGGCAGAGGTCAATCTTAGGAGTCAGTCTTTCCTCAGGAGCCATGCAGCTTGTTTTATTTATTTTTTTACATTTTATTTTACCCATATGAGTGGTTTGCTTGCATGTGTGTCTGTGTATCATGTATGTATGTGCCTCGTGCCCATAGAAATAATAAAAAGGGCATCAGATGCCCTAGGACTAGGGTTATAGATAGCCACCATATAGGTGCTAGGAATCAAACCTGGGTCTTCTGCAAGAGTCCCAAGTACCCTTAACCACTGAGCAGTCTCTCTAGCCCACATGCCTGGCCTTTTGCACAAGTTCTAGGAACCAGACTCGGGTCCTCAGGCCTGTACAGAAAACACTACCCCATCTCTGCAGCCCCACTCCCCAGTTTTCTGATAAGCTGAGCTTTCTTGTGGGCTGGAAATGTTGACTGGTTACCTGGAGACCTGAGCCACTGACAGCCAGATCAATGGAGCAAGCCTGCAGGTCAAGACTCTGTGTCAGAAAATGGCACGGCCAGAAGCCAAATGTTTCCAGCACTAAGTCTAAGGACAGAGAAGTGGCTGCTGCCATGCTAGAGTTAAAGAGAATGCAGCTAAGGTTTGCCTTTTCTTCTTAATTTACTTTAACCATAGAGGGAAATAGTCAAGGCTAACAGAATGGAAAATAGCCCAGAGGGAAGGAGGGAGGGAGGGAGGGAAGGACAGAGAGGGAGAGAGAGAGAGAAAGAGAGAGAGGGAGAGAGGAAGAAGGAGAAGGAGAGGGAGAGGGAGAGGGAGAGGGAGAAGGAGAGGGAGAGGGAAAAAGGAAGGGGTTAAGTAGTGGGGGCAGATGAGAAGCAAGGGGTGGATATGATCAAAATATGTTACATATATGTATGAACACGTAATGAGTCTCCTTATGTGTAATTAATATGCACTGATAAAAGCAGGCCAGATGTGATGGCTCAGTGGGTAAAGGTGCTCGTCACTGAGCCTCAAGACCTGAGTTCAATCTGGAGAACCATGAGGTAGAAGGAGAGAACTGACTCCTCCAACTTGTCCTCTGGCCTCCACACATGTGCTGCGGCATGCATGCACATGTATACACACACAACAAATAAGTAAATGTGCTAAAAATAAGATTTAAAAGGGGCCTGGAGAGATGACTGGGGATATTAAGAGCATTTAAATGCTCGTGTAAAGGATCTGGGTTCCCAGCACCTGTTATCAGTCAGCTCATAACCAGCTGTAACTCCAGTTCCAGGGGATCTGATGCCTTCTGGCCTCTGCAGGCACCTGAACATATGTGATGTAAATAGACTTGAGAAGGCACATACATGTACACATAGCTAATTATCAATAAATCTTTATAAAATGAAAAACGCAAAAATTTGAACCAAAAACGTATCAACAAAACCTACTAGGCATGACTCTCTCTCCAATTTTACCCCTCCCTTCTTCTTTCCTTGAGATGGAATCTCGCTGTGTGGCTCAGGCTGGTCTTGGCTGAGATGGTGGGTGTGGACCATCATGCTCAGCTAACTTTGCTGCTTTGACTTCTCCACCATGATGCGCTGCAAGCTGTGAGCTGAAGTCAACCCTTTCTCCCTTAAGTTGCTTTTGTCAGGGTGTGTTAATCACAGTGACAGGGAAAGAAATTATGACATTATAAATCTATGTGGATGTGTGAAGATGTAAGGAAGTATTCCCCCTGTGGCGCAGAAGCCCAGAGAACAGGAAGCTAAGCAGAAGGCTGCTGGGAAGGGGAGGGGGGAGTGATGTGTTACCTCCTCCATCCGGAAAGAGCGGAAGATATACACGTAGTCACCTGGCCGACCAACGAACCTGGGAGAGTCAGGGTAGTGGTTAAGGAAGAGCTGGACTCAGCCCAGAAGCTGCCACCCAAAGGGCCTGTGCTTCTGTGGATCCCCAGACAGAGCCACCAGGATAGACTCCCTCCTTTCCAGGCGGATCTTCAGTACTAATACCTCTGTGCCACCTGAGCTGCTGAGGGGACTATCAGAGGTTGCTGTCTTGGCTGATATCTGGGGTCTGTATTGCTAGGGAACCCCTATGTTCTGTCGACCCAGTTAAAGCCAGCCCTCCCCAGGGCATTATGGGCTGTGGAAGCTGCACTTCTGTTTTCCCTGGGCTGTAGGGGGGGTCTCCCACCATCAAGAGGAACAAGGTAGGACAGGGTGGAGGAGTTCTTACCGGCCTTTGAAGAAGGCGACATAGAAGATTGGAGTGTAAGAGTTCACAAACTTGAGCAGGAAGGCCTTGAAGGTCAGCCTCTCCTCAAAGCTCTTCTCTGTCTTTGGGACCTCTGAGGAGAGACACACGGTGCTGACTGTGCCAGCTGCTAGCCACTCACAGACAGGCCAGGCCAGGGGCAGTTGGGACTGGCCATAGTTCGATGGTCAGGCTGCCCGCCCCAAGGCTGGCCCTACACCACCAGGCTCATGCCCATGCTGCCTATGCTCTCCTGCGAGTGGCACTCACCAATCTTGGTGAGCCACCTGGCAATGCAGCCGTAAACTTCATCCAGCAGAATGATGACCACAAGGTTGATGATGACAGCGGTGGCCGTGACTGTAACCCGGATGTTGGACCGCACAGATGGGGAGGAGTTCATGGCCAAGGCTGCAGCTGTGGAGATTCTATAGATGATAACTCCGAGGACGATTGCAAATGTCACTGCGATCTGCAGGGCAGGCATAGACATGCTTAGTGGGAATGGTAGAGGTGGTTTGGGGAAGTCGAAGAGCTCCCGTGAACCTGCCCGTCTGCTCCTAACCCCTAATTTTCCTGCGTCAGAACTAAAGCTGGAATTTCTGGAGTGCCTACCAGATGCCAGACGCTCTGCAGGAGTCAACCCACAGAACAAGAATAAGAAATGGGAAGACTCCCAGGATCAGAGAGGTTGTGTGGCTGGGTCAAGGCTCTGGGACAGGGCTTCATCAGCTGGTCCTTCCAAGTCTAAAGTTTACCAGATCTATGTATAATCCTTTCTTATTGTCCCCTATGTAGAGCTCAGAACACTGTAGTCACAACCCCAGTGGCTGTTCTGGTGGGTGGTAGAGCAAACTGGCTGCTGTGGATACTTCTTGCCCAACCCGGGGTGACTAAGAGAGCAGACTTCTTAGATGGTGACGGGGCTGAGCCAGGTGCCTGCAGGTTTGCTAGGACATGGCCAGGGTTCCGTCCCACAGATTTCTTGGAGCTACCCTCTAGCTCTTCCATGACAGCAGGCCCCAAAGCTAGCCAAACCCTTTTCAGGCTACAACATTCCATGGAACTCAGACTGCTGGTGCCTGAGAGATGGGTGGGAAGCTGGTGACAGGTTTGTTCCGCCTGATACAGTCGTCTGTCTGGGTTCCTTTTCCTTTTGGCACAGGTCCATGGGTAAGACCTAGTCTCTGCCCAGCCCAAGGGTGTGGACACCCCACCCTAGAGCTTGCTGGGCGAGGGTGGGCATGTCTGAGGCTCGAAAAGCCAAGCTTAGCTGGGGTTTAGCCACTTATGTGTGGGTTTTGGTTGCTCTAGGCAGGCTCTGGCCCTTATGCTCCTGTGTCCTGGGTGGAGGGGAGGCCTTGTCCTTGCTGGCACAGTCCCTCATGGCTCCTGGCGCTGCTGCTCTATGTTGCCCACTCAGGAAACATGGCCTTTGGAATTTCTTCAGAAGACTTGCCCTGAACACGATGGGCTCTAACCAGGCCTTTTCAGACATCTGTTAGTGACTAAACAGAAACAGCCTGCCTGGGAAACCATCTGCAGCCCCCATTCTGCTCTGTAAGCACAAGGCATGGATGCCACGCCCTGAGCTGTGCTAGGCAGTGAGAGTTTCCTTGGAACACCCCTCAGGCCTGCCAAGAGGCCGCTCCTGGCCATAAGGACATTTCCTGTGCCAGCACGCAGAGGTGGGGAAGGCTCTAGGTCTGTGGTGACTCAGCAGAGGCAGCCCTCCACCCTCCTCCTCCAAGGGAGCCATAAGCCATAAGCCATGTGCCTTGCACTTCTGGCTGGCCATGCACACTGATGTCTTCAGGCTTGGCACGTGTAGGGCATCAGCATTTGTGACTGAATGGAACTCTGGGCTCAGGGATGAAACTGTATCTACATCAGCCACGAGCCTGTCTCACTTGTGTCTTTTTTGGGAAAAGACAGCCAGCTGGTTTCTAACCTGTGTTTGTCTATCCTGGCTTCACTCATCTACCTCTGTTGGCTTCCTCTGAATTCCTTATCAATCCTTTCTACAGGGGAGGTAGGCAGGAGAAAGGATTCTGACCAATGAGATGCCCTGTCGGGGGGGTGTCTGAGGAAGCCCCCTTCACAGACAGGCAGCCTCTGCTGCTCATCTTCTGCCCTATTCTCAGCTTTCCCCTTTTCTTATCTGGAATGCAGAAGTGGTGCTGGAGGTGGAGCAGCTATAAGGTAATCAGGATGAGTGAGCAGAAGTCCAGGGAAGCCAGTGCCTCTGGTCACACTAGGCCTTAGGTCACCCACCCTCCTCCTGAACCATTGCTGGTCTTTTTGTTAGGAACAGCTGGACTGTGGAGCTGCTGGGGTCGCTTGGTTCCTGAGCTTTGCCCTTCACTGACTGAGGGCTGGGGGTGTCATTCTCTGGTTATGCCTCAGCACCTGAGGGAACATGCCACCCTCAAAACGAGGCTGAGAGTGTGTCTGTAGTCCCAGCTACCTGAGGGGTCAAGGTTCAGAAGCTCAGGGACAGCCTGGGCAGCATAGACTTCATCGAACTGAACCAGAGCAAATGAGGCCTCGCTTGACTTCCGGTGAGTTCCTGGTTTCTCCAGGGAAAGGTGGGTGAAGCTGAAGCTTCACTGTCTTCCAGGAGAGGTGCACCCTGCCCAGGAAACCCAGTCTGACTCAAGGCCTTCTGTTCATCTCATATGGAAAGAGAGGCCCCTGGGGCAGATGAAGAAATTAGCTGCTAGCTTTGCTCCTTCTGGCTTGGCATTCCAAGGAACAGCCTTTAGATCTGTTTCCTTACCAGCAGCATTGTGGAGTCAGGCCTGGCTGGCTGTGAAGACTGAATGGATCATTCCCTCGGAAGCCCTTGGGACAGGTGGCTGATGGGGATCTTGGGCTGAGAGACTAGTGGCTGTGCCAAGATCTCATCACAAACTTCCAGACTAGATAAAAGGTGACCACAAGTAGCCCATGCCATATGAAGGTCGAGAAAGGTATGGGTGGTTTGAGGCAGAGGCCTGGTGGGGCCATTGGGAATGGGAACCACGGGTTTGCTGGGTCATTAGAATTAGCTCAGAGCCATGTGTCCTGTTCTTCCTCTTTGATTTTTTTTCCCCTTGATCTTGTTTTGAGACAGCCTATGTAACCCAGCCCTGTTTCAGCCTCTTGAATGCTGGGATTACAAGAGTATACTGCCATGCCTGGTCATCTTGTGAAATTTTGTTACTGGTTTCGCTAAGATTTGTTAGTTTGGTTTTGAGGGCACAGAGGAGATCCCAGTGTGCAGCATTTCCCACTTGGGGAAAACTATATGTCACTGGACTCAGATCACACACCCCAGGACCTCCATAAACCATCCCATCCCATCCCAGGGATGGAAGAGGGCTGTCCTTCACTCCCGATCTATCTCACTGTGTCCCAAGATGAGTGCAGGGCACCTCTGATTCCAAGCCCCTCCAACCTTCTAGAACTTACCATGAAGATGATGGAGACAAGATTGGTGAAATAGGCTGGGAATCGGTCCCTCCAGGTCAGCTTCACCTTGTCAGTCTGCAACATGAAACCATTTGCTCACTCACTGGGACCCACCCCAGTGGGTGGATAGGAGTATGCACAGAAACTCAGAGAAACTTTCAGAAGGTGCTGAGCAAACATGACGGCGCAGTGAAAGAAGCACACAGGGCCTAGTCCCCTGTGAATAGGGTCACACGGTGACAGAGAAGGGAATGGTCTCAGGGCTAGGCTTCCTCTTTGCATTGGCATGACATTACCCGCTGTGCCCTAAGAACTGCATGGCCTGAGAGGGAGTGGCCCACATCTGAGACACTTTTCTTTCTCTGCAACCTCCTGTCCAGGGCTCCAGGTCCTAAGCTGTTGGGCCATTTGTCTGGGTCCAGACCATAATAGCTATTTCTCCTTTGCTGAGCAGGTCAGAACAAGTGGCTAGCACTGCATGCTAGAACTCAGAGCACTGTACAGCTATGTTGACCTGGGGCCACATAGCTCACAGAGGCTCTCTTGGGCCCTGAGCTGGCTGACCTGGAGGGACCTTGGGAAGGAGTTGATCACTAGCCTCTTGGGTCCTGAGCTGTCTGGACTGAAAGGACCTTGGGGAGCAGTTGGTCACTAGCCTGGGCAGTTTCAAGTGTATGTGGGAGGGGCTTTCAAAGAAAAAAACACACTTGAGCCCAGCATGCTGGCACGGACGTCACATGCAAGGTCACTCATTCCAGAGGTGTCTGCATGCATGCTCACAAGAAAACAAGAAGCAATAGTGGACACTCGTGATAAGCATGTCTCCAGAACCCCACATGAAGCTGCCCCTGTTCCCTGTGGATCCCTGACAGCCATGCAGTGACATTGCAACACATGGCAGGCTGCAGGTGGGAGGTGGGGAGGGAACACAGATGGGACTGTTCCGAGAACACACCACAGAGGTAGCCAGGGACAGACACAGTGGCCAAGAAGGCCTGCAAACGGTGTCAAGGCTTGAGTTGCCCCAAAACAGAGAAGTACCAATTTCACCCCTGCCATGGCTGTCCTAACCCTCTGCTTCCATTTGTTGGTTGGTTCTTCTGGAACATTCCGGCGCTTCTGAGGGTGGGTGGGGAAAGAGAGCACTGGGTGGCAGAATGAGGGAAGGGTACTGCTAATCTTGGATGTGGGTCTAAGGCAATGGCTCACTCTCTCTCTGTGAGAACCATTTGCCAAGGCTGGCCTGGGCTCTTGGCATTTTAAGCGAGTTAACACACAACAGAGTCTCGATTCAAGATCAGGGCAAGGGGAACTAAAGGTTTCCAGAATAAAGAATCCAGCATACATAGGCTCCTTCAGCAACATGGTTTCTATGGTTTAGAGTATGGGAAACGTGGGTCTGTCTCCACTACCACCCTGAGACAACAGAAAGGGAGCCACACCCAGAAGCACAGGTTAGCATGCCAATCAGTGTTTGATCTGTTGAAATAAACCAATTTCATGGGCCTAGACTGTAGCTCAGTTGATAGAATGGATCCCCAGCCCCGGACAAACACACGGTAGTTTCACATCCCTGGAATCCCAGCACTCTGGAAATTGGAGGCAGAAGGATTAGAAATTCAAAGTCATCTTCAGTTACATAGCTAGTTGGAAGCCAGTGTGGGCTGTACAACCCACATGGTTCTAGCCATGGGCTGGCTAGAAGGCTCAGGCAGTAAAAGTGCTTATGGCCAAGTCAGATGACCTGTCTTCAATACTTCAGGACCCACACTATGGAAGGAAAGAACAGACTTCCTAAGTTGTCTTCAGATCTCCATACATGTGCTGTGTCATACACATACAAATAAATGTATTTTTTTTAAAAAAGAATAAAACCACATGAAGTAATTTTGTTCCATTACTGGGGGAGATCAATGCAAGGCTGTCACTGGGAGGCCCACGAGCAGGAGAGAGAATATGACGATATGAACCCCGTGAGCTCAGGGACACCATCCTCCTGGAAGCCCACAAAAAAACCCCAAAACCCCAAACTCAAAACTAAAACAAAGCAAAACAAAACAAAACAAAATCAACAAACAAACAAAAAGAAAGAAACAAAACACCCTCCTAACATCTTTGTGGCTCTCTCGTGATCCAAGAGCTGGGGCTGAGCTGGGGCCGAGTGAGGCAGCGCACACTCTCTGAAGTTGCTGCTGGGTCAAGTGTGGTGTATAGGGGCTGCAAACCTCTGTGGCTTGAGGAATGAGCAGACACTTCTCCATGTTCATTCCAGTCTGAGATCCGTGACCAGAAAGCCACTAGGCTCACAGTACTAGAGGGCTCAGGCTGACTCCTGAGATTTCTCTACAAAGGCTTAGAGCCAGGTAGGTACCCTGGGGACATGACAGGGGTTTGAAGGGCCTCACTTGGGGAGGTCACCAGATTGTATGCAGAAGGTACTGCTCAGTTGATCTGTTAAGTCAGATAGCTTTTGGCTGGTATGTCCAACCCCATGGGTTGCACATGGCCTACCACAGCTATGAATGTAGCCCAACAAAAAACTGTAAACTGTAAACTTCAAATATAATTTTTTTTCAGTTTGAATGTAAGGCCGTCTTGGCTCTATAGATGACAACGTGCCTCAGTGTCAGAACTCTGGACACACCTGAGAGTGATCCAATTGCAAATATAATTTTATTCTTTTTGAGACATGGTCTCAGCATCTAGTCCTGGTTGTTCTAGAACTCACTGTGTACACCATGCTGGCAGAGATCTGCCTACCTTTGCCTCCCAAGTGCTGGAATTAAAGGTGTGTGCACCACCACATCTGGCCATGATGACTGTACACCACCACATCTGGCCATGCTTACTTTTTTCATTCTTGAGTCCTGCTCAGTCCCTTTGGGGTATTCTGGAAGATGTACCTCCTTCCTGGCTACAAGAATGAAGACTTGTATCTGCCAGCCCGAAGTCTGTACTGTACCCACTTCCATGTAATTGTAAAGACCATGCCTAGAGGATTCTAGGTACCATAAGCTCTAGACATGGGACATGATAACAAACAAGGTAAGAGCCCAGGGTTTGTCTTGTTACTCCAGAGGCTGAAGGTGCAAGGGCACCAGGAAAACCATAAGTTTGGAAGAGTATCTTCTAACTGCCTAGTACTGCCCAGTACCAACATGACCCAGTAGCCTGGAGGTCCTGGACTGCCCTCGTCATGTGAAAACCATCAATAAGGAACAGGTCAATGCCTTTAGAGGCATGTAGCAAGAATGTGTGTTGCACATACAAGCTGCCAATCAGAACGAAAGGCTTGGGGACAGTTTACTATGAAAAGACAGGGGCCTGAAGCACATCACAACACTCACATCTTCTCCCTGTCCCTACATCCTAGACTCTAGGATGTGGAGAAGCTCACAGACCCGGATCTACAAATGTTCCCAGTTCATTGTTCAACACAGAATACAGGTTGCATGGGGGTGGGGGAGGGGCAGAGCCTTCCCAGCAACCAGATCTAGTGTGACATGTTTGCTGAAGTTGAGGTCACTTTCAGGATACATCAGGGGACAGTTTAGAGCAGAGCTGGGCCAATTAGGCTCCTTTGGTCCAATCTGGCCCCGGGCCCATTTTTGTAAATAAAGTTTTATGGGAACACAGTCTTGCATATTTGTTTACCTTTTGTCAATAGCCCTGTTCACACTATGGAGGCAAAGCCGAGTAGCTGTGGTGTAGGCTTACACAGCTTAAATATTTACAATCTGAGCTAAGCCCCAGTCTGCAGAGAGCACACAGTATTTGTTGACACCTGTCTATACCTGGGAATATATAGTTTTTGCTGACCCCTGGTCATACCTGATAAATATATAATGTTTACTGATTCCTGGTCACACCTCAGACACACAGTGTTTGCTGATCCCTGATCACACTTTAGACACACAGCATCTCACTGTGGGAAGTAAAGAGCAGAACTTGTACCTCTTTGTTTCTGGATTCTTTTTTCAGTGACTTCTCTAAGACTCTGGCTTCGTACTCTGCTCTGGGATGATCCTGAGAAAGACAGCAAGTCAAGAAGGAATGTATTAGTGTTGAGTCCCTCCACATGAGTTCATGTATTTTGCCTTGGGGACCAGTTCACAGCTGGCCGTCATATTTCCAACATAAAACTCCCTGAACTTGGCCTGAATCTCAGCTCTGGATCCCCCCTCTCTCTAGGAACCCCAGCTCAATGGAATGGACAGAGGGTCTGGCTTCTGTGTCCTGCATAGGGTCTTAGCTATGCTAGGATTCAGTGAACACCCAGCTGTGAACTGACCCTCTGGAACATTCTGTGGAGTAGCCACAGGGGTCAAAAGAGATGTAGCGAAAGGCAGCAAGCACAGGCAGGCTGGAGGTGCCAGGCCTCAGGGAGCCAAGAGCAATTCAGCAGAAGGTACTGGAAGGAAAGAACAGGTCAGATGAGACCAGGAGAAAGCAGAGCCCAGGTGAGAGCCACGAGGAGACGTCCGGTGGAAAGACAGGAGCATGTGTGCGAAGGTCCCTCTCCCCAGAGACAGGCTAGAGGAAGGCAGAGTGACCAAAAAATAATTCCAAACCTTGACAGCTTCCTGCGGGGAACCGGGAATAAAGAGAAAAACAGAAAGCAGCATTAGTGAGGTTGTTTATCTGTAGAGCCAGGATGGTGGCAGTGTCCAGCAGAACAGGGGTCTGGATGCTTGCCATTTCCAGATGCCAGTTTTGCAAGCTTCCCACAGTTCTCAGCTCAATGGAGAAGCACACAGAACAATGGCCTGGTTTCCTTCTGTGTCTAGCCAACCTGGGGTTCAGACCACTGGGTGTGGGTAGGAGGGTAGAGGCTGCCTCTTCACCTGAGGCCGCCCACTCCACCAGGACCGTGGTCGGCCATGGGACATGAGTGGCTTACTTTGGAGGACTCACTCAGGCCCACTGGGGTTGTATGCCCAGTGGCCTCAGGGATGCCTCTCAGAAATCAAGCCCTAGGGATCTTGGAGGGAGTGAGGTCAAGATGAGGTTGGTGAGTTATTCCTCTCAGCTTTCAGGACACCTTGAAAATGTGTCCACCAGGACAGTAAGACCCAGCTGGTGTTTCTTCTATTGGAATTATCAACATGGAATCAACAATCAAAGAGACGAGCCTTCTGGGGGTCAGTGAACCCACCCAGGACAGAGCTCCTCCTGCACCAGATACAGAGCACTGGTCATTTGTGAAATGGACTCACTGCAGACACTGTTACATGGGTGGGTAGCACGGCTGTGGCTGGCTAAGTAACTGTCTGGGAAGCTTTCTGTGCCCTGGGCATAGCTATGCCCAGCAGAGACCTCCCCAGTCTGGTCAAGTGAGGCTTACTCTTCAATGGCTATGGGACAGTAAAGGGCACTGGGCACAGAGATGTTAACTATTATACCACAGGTCACACAGCAGTGGTGATATCAGATTAAATGAAGTCTGTGATCAAATGAGTACTGGGGTCCCAGAGCCCTGGCTTATAACCAAAACCTGTCTGCTAAGCTGGGAGCATGGAACAGCATGGCTTCAGCATAGAGCAGAAGCTACCACAGGCTCTTTGAAAGGTGCATGTGGCCAAGAGTAACCAGCAGACTGGAACTCAGGAGGGTGTGAGCTGTGTGTTTTATAAGGGCACACAGCTGGGGCTTAGTAGCAGCACTTGTTTAGTGTAGTTCAAGTTCCAGAGAGAGGGAGGGATGGAGGGAGGAAGGGAAGGAAGGAAAGAGAGAGGTGGATTCGTAACACATCAAAAACATAAAAGGGGCCTCACTTATAAAAAGTAAGCACGGGAGGGACACTGGTGATGTACGGGACAGCATTTGCCTGCATAAGGCCATGGGTTAGATCCCTAGCACTGAATAAACCAGATGTGGCCATGCACACCTGCCTGCGATCCCAACTCTCCAGACATACGGCCTGGAAGGTTTCGAGTTCAAGATCATCCCTGATAATGCAACAAGTTAGAGGCAGCCTGAGCTACAACCTCCAAGGGTAGGACATGGCACTAAGTATGCCTCAGCCCTGTAACCCCAGCTCCCAGGAGGCTGGCTCCTGAAGACTGTACTGTAGGAAGTGAAGGCAATGGCACGCTGCACCAGGTCATGGCCATGCCTCAGCATGTGCAGGGAACAGCCTACTCTACGTCAAAGCTCTCCTTGTGGGGACAGCACTCCTTAATGACCCTAACGGGATTCCTGCTGGAGATGGTAGTCAGGGGATTCTGGGCAGACTCATTGTCCCTAACTCCAGGGCCATCTACCAGTGAGCATCTCCTCTTTGGAACCTAGCCCTGTTTGCATTGAGCCAGTTATTAAAGGTTCTGCTGGGCTTTTCAACCTCCTCTGCTTGTAGACAGGGATGATTTGGATGGAGGACAGAGGGAGGCAGCCTGTGGACGGCAGCAACTCCCCGCCCACACCCCACAGCTGCAGATGTGATGAGGTCAGCGTGGGGAGCCCTGGCCAGCACTCGAGCCCACACTTGTGGGTGTTGTGTCTTTGGGAGCATGGAGACAGAAAACACTGGTAGATGGAAAACAGTTGCCCTGACAACCAAGGAATACCAGGGTGATGAGTGAAGGAGCCACAGGAGCCATGCCTGGGATCAGGGGCCAGTCAGGACCTGGAGCATCCATGTAAGCCAGAGGAGATGGCAGAAGGGGCCCCAGGGAGGACAGATACAGACACTCACCTCCTCCTCTTCGAAGCCTGTCAGATCCCAGCGGTAGTTGAGTCTCATCTGCTTCCGTTTCCAGTGTTCCATGAAGGTGGCAGCTGTAGGAATGTTGGGAAGCAATCAGGGCCAGTGGGTACCCTGGACTATGCAGAACCTCTCTTCCATGCCACTGGCTGAGCAAAGGCCAGGGCCACACAAGTAAACAGGTTCAGCCCTCTCACCGACCCTGCCTGGACATTGCATTCCCACTTTGCAGATGAGGAAACTGAGGTAGATGTAAGCTCTGGTCAAGGTCACTCGGCTAGGCAGAGAGGGATAGACTGGCTAGCTTTTGACCCTGGGTCTCTAGTAATATTGCTCATTGCTCTCAGGGTCCCTGGGGCACAAGTGCTGGGGAGTCTTGAGGTCAGAAAAGGTAAGGGTTAGCTAGACACTCATGCTGTCAGCTGACTGCACCACTGGCCACTGTGGCCTGTTTGTTTATTGACAGCGTCCTGTGTGCCTGAGGGTGGTTTTGAACTTGCCGTGTGGCTCTGTGGTTGGTTTTACTTATCGACTTGCTGCAATCTAGAATCACTTAAGGATGTAGTCTCCAGCTAGCAACTGTGTCGATCAGATTGGCCTGTGGGTACATCTGCAGGAGATTGTCTCAATTGTCAAAGACCCACCCTGAATGTGAACAGAACCATTTCATGGGCTGGGCCTTAAAGTATATAGGTAAAGAAGGCAAGCTAAGAACAAGCCTCAGAAAAACCCGATTTTCCTGCCTTTAGTTCTAGAATAGACATGTCTGGACCATCACACCTAGATCTGTGTTATATTCCTGACAGAGTAACCACATGTTTGAATGCTGCCTCCTCGAGGAGATGCTGATGACACTCCCACACTCCCCACTCCCACCCTCACTGCCCATGTACACCCAGCGTCAGAACACATCAGCCAAGGGCTGGAGAGGTGATTCAGCAATTAAGAACACTAGCTGTTCTTGTAAAGGACCCAGGTTCGGTTCACAGCATCCACACAGTGCTCATCACTACCAGTAACTCCAGTTCCAGGGGATATGTTGCCCTCTTCTGACCTCTGAAAGTACTACACTCAAATGCAACACATACATATACGCCAGCATATACACATACATATACATCTTAAAAGAAAAGTATCAGCCAATCCCTCACAGGATGCTACGGTGCAGGTATAGGTGGAACATCTTCCAAGACTCAGTGTTGAAGTTTGATCACCACTGTGAGCTATGAAGACAGTGAAGGCTAATCCCACTGTTCAGGAATGGGGCCTTCAGGAGTCAATTAGCTCAGATAGGTCAGGATGCAGCCTGGTGAATGAGCCCCTGCAGCTCTGTGAGGAAAGGGAGAGACATTGTCACACGAGGCCCTGTGCTGCCCTATGATGTTGCCAGCACCAAGGCCATCCCCATGGGTGGGCTCTTGACCTTGAAACTCCAGTACTATGAGTCAAAATGAACCTCTTTGCTCTATAAAGTGACCCCATCTCAGACATTTAATTGTGTGAAGAAGAAGCTGATACAGGACCAACTGCAGACTGCATTTGTTCCTGCCACCTTCTAAGCCAATCCCTGTCCACCTGGGTGGCTTTTCTAGGTATCTGGGGCAAGAATATGGCCTAACTCCTCTGTTTTTAGTACACAGGGGTTGCCTGGCCCAGACCGGCTCTCCACCGTGTTCACTGATGGACCAGTGATTTATGAACATATAGCTTGCAAAGGCAGACACAACAGCTGAATGTTTGCTGTGAATACTGTCCTCAGGAAGTCAGCAGAGGGGATGGTCATCAGAGCTTGAGATTCTCAGGCTGTCACAGGCAAGATGCTGTGCCAAGAACTGTCATACAGAATGCCTCTGTGAGACCCTGCAGTTACCAACCAGGATTGATTTCACATTGTCTAAGAAAAGGACGAAACAGGCTCACAGGCTGTAAACTGCTTATCTGATAATTAGGGACATCAAGACAGAAATAAGATGCCTCATTTGGGAATCCCAGTGGGGGCTTCCAGGTGGAAGTCAGAGCCATAAAGATATGGCCACAGTGTCATGACAAAGGGAGAAACATCCTAATGCCCTTTCTTATCACTTCAAGCTATGCTGGAGAGACAGCACAGTGGTTAAGAGCACTGGCTGCTCTTTCAGAGGACCTGGGTTTGATTCCCAGCATCCATGTGGTAGCTTACAACCATTTGTAACTCCAGTTCCCAGGTACCTGATGCCCTCTTCCAGTCTCTTTGGATACCAGAACATATTTGAAACATGTGCAGACAAAACATTCATATGCACACACATACAAATCTAAATCCTACTTCTAGCTGAGACTCAAAGCTGAGCCGTCTAGGAAGTGGGATTGTAGGAGGACCTGAGTTTGGTTCCCAGCACCCACACGATGCTCACAGCCACCTGTAATTCCTATTCTGCTCCAAGGGTTCACACATGTACATAGCACTCATAAACTTACATGAGTACACAGTACACACATACAAATACATTAATCAAAACAAAACAATCCAAACCAAATGGGCCAACCATGTGAAGAGAGAATTCTCCAAAGGAGCAACAGGTTTATAGAGGGGCTTGGCCTTGCTCTCCAACAAGGGGACCAAAAACCACAATGACTCAAATGAAAGATAAATAAACAGGCAACAAAACTAAAAACAAAATCCTCCCTCACGGCAGTCAGAACAACACCCTCCCTCCAAAGACAAAAGACAAATGTTAGTCAAGTCACAAAGAAAAGCTAGCATTTGTTTGCTTATGTTTGCTTATGTCTGGTGGGAGAGGAGTGCACAATCTCAGCCATTGTGCAAAGCACAGAGGCTTCAGACATCTAGGACTGAGACCACCACACCATCAGCCATCCAGCTACAAGGGCAGTGCCAGAAGCCCCAAGGGAAGCATCCATGCACAGGACAGTGCTGCTCAGCAAGCATGCATGAGTGCATGGGTGGATGTGAGCATGTGCTGGGAACACGCAGCTGTGTCTTAGCCATAAGGAGGTGAAATTGGCATTTTTATCAACACAGTGGGACCAGGAGACCATGATGAGAAGTACTAACACAGGAATGGAGGCTGAGAAGAGGGAGGCGCAGTCATCAGAGGCCAGGAGCAGAGGTGAGCAGAGGCTGGGAATATGGACACCTGCAAGGCCAGGAACAGGTCTGGTGTTCCACGACAAGTGGGTAATCAATTGCAGTCTTGTATCATTTGATTCTGAGAGCTGGAAGTCAGGACTGTGGATGCCCTCAGCAGAGCTGTGATGCCCGAGAGGTCTGGAAACCTCAGTGCTCTGAGCTGAGGGCACACCCAAGTCAACATACCCAAGCATCCTTCCTTCAGGACCTGAGAGGGAGTAAACCCTTCTGTAAAATCCTTCCCTGCCTATGGGGAGGTAACATGGGACAAGGGGCTTGGTTGGGGAGTCCATGAGAGGAGCCAGGCCCCAGAAGAAAGATGCCTCCGCCCTGGGGCATGGTACCATAGCAGAGGGCAGGGCCACCTCCACCTGCCTCTGAAGTCCCTGCCCCTTATAGTGTTAATATCATTGGCTTTATCTCCAAGACAACACTCTAAGGCCTCAGGCAGTGTTAGATGCTGGGCTCTGCCACCTCCAGTCTCCTGCTCGCACATCCAGCTCCCCGGCCTGTCAGCTGCACTCACTGACTGGCAGTAGAGTGCCACACTGTTGTGGCGGTGAGGTAACCTTGTGTCCACTAGCATCAGAAACAGAAGGAATGATTCCAGAAGAAAACAAACCAGGGCATGGAGGGTTGGGAGGTGCCACACTGTGTCACTTAGAACTGATTCTGGCTGATCCTTGGATCTGTGCTTAGTTACCTCACTGGAATAATGCTGAGGGATACTAGATCTCCTTAAGGGAAAAGCAATCATAGTCCTATCTGATATGTCAAACTGTTCAAGCTTTTCCTCTCTCTTTCTCCTTCCCTTCATCTTTCCATCTCTCTTTCTCTTTTTTACACAGGGTCTCTCTATGCAGCTCTGGCTGGCCTGGAACTCACTTATGTAGACCAAGCTGTCCTTGACCTCACAGAGTTCCTCCTGTTTCTGTATCCCAAGTACTAGGATTAAAGGTGTGCCATGCTGAATACATCCTTTTTTTGCAGGAGGAAATAGAGATGCAGAGAGGTTAAGCAATTTGCCTAAGGTCACAGCACCCAGAAGCTGGTCCTGGAACACTCTTTGCTTGTTTGAAGAGGGGTATGAGAGCTCTAATCTGCTGGGATCCAGGCTGACCAAGACCCAACAACCCTTGACTGTGTTGAGAAAGAAACATTTAATATTAAAGTGGAAATTTTCTGTTTCTTTTATGTGAGTCAGAGGCCAGTGCTGGTACTAGGATGCTGGAGCTGGGCCTTCTGCGCTTGGCCATGGGCCCCATGGCACTCATCAGCCGAGCTCTGTGCTGAGATGGAACAGAGGGTGAGACCATGCTCAGATGAGGCTGCAGGAAGGGGTAAAGGAGGTTCAGACAGAGGCGGGGTCAGACCTTAATGCTGAGCATCAGATCAAGAGAGAAAAGTCCTTCCCACATGGGCTGAGCAAAGGCCAGAGGGAAGCCAACCACTCATCCTCCCAGGACTCCTGTGGTCCTAATAATGCTTTCCCTGGTCCTGGATCACACATACCATCACATAACAGTATCCTCCCACATGGACCCCCTTTTACACAAGCCCCAGGGCCAACGCTGCTCAGATAGTATACCCCACTTCATAGACATAAACTGAGGCACAGGTGTACCAAGACTTTCTTTATAAATGGTGAGACTTGTACCCTGATCTTGTGACAGCAACATGGCTTGTGGAGGGGAAAACTTCTTTATCCACACAGGGGCTGAGCCATGCATGGAATCTAAAGTAGCAAGATCACCACCCTAGCTTGGAGTGCAGAGGCTAGGACAGCACAGGACACAGACAGTAAGGAGGATCCAGGCCAGGGCCGGAACAGCACGGACCCACAGTCCTGCTTCCTTAAGCATTTGTTTTGGCTACAGAGTGTTACACAATTGTCTTCACTTGAAGGATCCTGCACTGGGTGGTGAGCGAGTCTCTGGATGTGCC